CAGGCTGAGTTAGGAGGTACCATAGCAGCACATAAAATTTAGACTATTTAGGAATCCAAACTTTTACTGGTCCTTGGTAACCGCTGTAGGGAGAAGTCCACAGATGTTGTTTATGAGCAAATATTATTTTTCATAGTCCTGCGTGTTTACAAGACAGTGATGTTCCACACAACTGCTCTGTATCACGTTGGGATGGTTCTTGGAGGGTTTTATTTGGTTGTAGCTGACGGTGAACAAGCCCGTTAACAAATATGCACAAAAAAGACCCAGTGACAGGACGGGAGACTGACTGAAATGGAGCAGATTCATTTCATTTGGAATCTGCCCAGCCTGGATTGCCTTGACATGTTTTTTTTCAGACCATCAGTAACCCAACCTAGGTCACTCATCTTGAATAATCACAGAATCAGAGAATGGTTTGGGTTGGAAGGGACCTTAAACATCATCTTGTTCTGCCTCCATGGACAGGGACACCTTCCACCAGCACAGTTTGCTCCAACCTTGGACACTTCCAGGGATCCAGAGGCAGCCACAGCTTCTCTGGGCAACCTGTGCCAGGGCCTGCCCACCCTCACAGGGAAGGATTTTTTCTTAAAATCCCACCTAAACCTACTCTCAGTTTGAAGCCATTTCCCCTTGTGCTGGCGCTCCATGCTCTTGTAAAGAGTCCCTCTCCACCTTTCTTCTGGTTCCCTTTAGCCTCAGTCGTGTCTCTGTGTAAGGCACATTCACACTTGATTTTCCAAAGCCTCACTGGGGTGACAAGTCCCAGGAAGAACAAGGAACGGGGCACTGGGACATCCAGGTAACAACACAAATGGAGGAGAAAAAAAACACCCTCTGGCACTCTCTTTTTCAGAACTCCCCCATCCTGGATCCTTCTGCAGGGTTTGAGTCTCTGCTCCCCCGTGGCTCTGGCTGTAGGACCAGCGCCCTTGAGTGCAGAAATCCCTTTTGCCATGAACGTATTTTAAATGCAAGCTTCCGAATCTCCTTGCGTGCTGCCTTTTCCTCTTCCATTCGTTTTCCTCCTAACAATGCACCTGCCAATATCTGCCCCTGAGCTCCATTTTAAGCAGCGTTTTCCATAGTTAATGTCACACTCTTGCTCCCAATCTATCTTTGGCAACTGCTGACTGCCTGCAGCAGGACCAGAGGAAGAGGGAAAGCCCTCCCTGGGTATAACAATAACACAACACCCATTCCTGGAAGAATGATGAGATCGGCTGTGTCATAAATATTTATAAGAGCGAGCGTAATGAAATGGATGTGTGGGATGCTGAGTCTCCCTTAGGGTTTGGTCATCACATGTTTTTTCCCCTCTTTTCTTTCTTCCCCGTGATACAGAATTGTCCTGATGTCCCCGGGTTGTCGAGCAAATTGCTCATTGTGTTGCTCACTTACACAATGCATGTTATTATGTGCAACCAGCTGCTCCTGTTTGGCATTGCCGGCGCATACGGAACAGGAGGCCACCGCCACTCTCCTCGTCTGGAAGTCAACGCTCCCTCCAGCGCCAAAGTTGCTGCCAGACCAGAAGAAGCCTGGGAACAAAGCGAGTCCTGGTGGTAGAGTTCCCCGAGAGACTCCCCTTCTGGGAACACCGAGGTTGCAGTTTTGCAAGGAGTTTGAGCTGATCCAGCTTTGTGCTGCTGTTGAAAGCTCCCTCCTGTCTCTGCCTGTGTATTCCCATGGCTTTCCTTGTGCTGGCATTGACTCCTGGGTGATTGCACTGGGAGCTGGAGCAGGGGACTGATTTTGTTGTTATTGTTGTCGCCAATTAAGTTTTCAGCACCATCCTTTCCTCTGTCCAGCTCCAGGCTCATTCAAGCACTAATGCTGTCACAAAGGAAAGAGCAGCCAACTCTTCTGGTAATTAGAGCAGCTTAAATCAGTCATAAAATGTCAACCTCAGCGCTGCAGCCCTGTCTGGAGTCAGGGATGGTCAGAAACCAGAGCGAGGCTGTGTTTGAGACTGGGAAGTTTAATCCTGCTTGGGAGAGAAAGTACCTAAGCTGTGAATCTTCTTGTTCCTCTCACTGCTTTCTCTCTGAAACAGCTTTCCTGCTGTTGTTCTTTTATTTTAGGGGGTCTTTTTTTTTAGCAAGCCTTGTTTTTAACCTGCATTTGTTTAGTATCTTCCACAACTAGATCCACGTATTCTGAATCCTACTTGGAAGTGGACACGGGCTGCTTAGTGTGGGTTTGGATTCAGAGCCTGGAGGAATTCTGGTTCAGATCCCTGTGTAACACAAATCCCAGGCTCTGAGGCCTCTTGCACTATACCAGCCTTTCAAAAGCATGGATACCCCCTTGGCTACAGGCTGGCTGAATGGGAAAACCCTAAAAATGAGGCTTTTGGCCCTGGAAATGGGACTTTATACCCTAAACACATGCCTTTGGATGTTCGAAATGCCTGCTGAGCTTGAGAAATTTATAGCAGCTTTTGCTGGATTTCTCTAGTTATTCCTGGGATCTCAAACAAACAGAGATATGTGCTATACTCTGTCCATACACCTGACACTCACCAAAAAATGTTAGGAGCACAGAAATAATGTCTCTTGAAGGGGGAACAAAAGGCTGAACTACAAACACCTGCCACTTACTGCTGCTGCTCTGCCCGTCCCACTTTCAGAGTATCAGAGGTTTGCAGCTCTTGAAAGGCAGAAAGAAACTCCTCGTGGGCAGGAACGGGAACGCTGGGGAGTCTGCAGCACAGACTCAGGCTTTTGCTGCTCTAAGTATTGGGGCAGAAATGCCATTGTCCAGGGAAGGAATGTCCCTTCTGTTGGCAGGGCTGCTGTCACTTTGTTCTTTACAGACTGACAGCCAGAGTTATCCACTCCTTCCCCAGTCTACAAAGTGACTCCTTCTCCAGCTCTCCCTCCTGTGTGAGAGCCAGGGGAAGTGGTTTCACCCCTGTGAGCAGACTTGGTGTCAGTCCTGCAGAGCACAGGTGTTGGCACTGTGAAGGAGCTGGTGCTCCAGGTGATGTTACTGCTGCTTTTTCAGGCTCTTTGCCAAGCCATCTTCCTTTTCTTTTCCCTGGGGATAGGTATTCAAGGACTATGCTTTGCAAGCTTGGGTTTGTCAAAATGCTGGTTTTATTGCTGTTTCCGCAGACATGTGCCATGGAGGAACTGAGTAACACTAATATCAAAGAGCTAAGACAGGAGTTAGACCTGGCTCTTTCAAAGCTGGTGGTTGCTTCTAATCCTGACCTGTTGACAAGGAGCTGGATCAACACTTTAACACAGCAGGTGCCTTTAGAGTGTGTAGTATCTTGCAGGCCATTAACAATTTTCATTATTTATATTATACCAGACTGGCCCAGCTGCAAGGTAAAGTCTTCCTTGCTTAAAGGGAGGGAGAAATGTCTGGGATTTGAGGAAAAAAGTGGGAAAGGCCCAGACAGAAAGGAGGGCTCGTGGATGTTGTTAGTCTTTACCTCCACGCTGGAGTAGGGCAGGAGGGGAATGTGGATATTACTACCCCTGTTTCTTTCTGCAGGGAGGTGAGCATATGGATGGTGCAGGAATGGGGTGGGTGGATTTGCTGTGTCCTTATTGCTCTCCTTCCCAGTGAGGTGTGCTGTGAGTGTCCACCTGACGCTGGGCAAAGCCTCCCTGTACATCTGTCCAGGACAGGGGGCTGCTGCCTCCCAGGGCTTGTCTGTGCTGACAGTGCCAAGTAGGAACTTACAGTTGCATCACTCACACGGGAGACCTGCTTCCCTGCACGCAGCCTTTCTGGTTTCATTTAAGTTTTTATAGCGCATTATACAAGCTATTAAATAGGAAGGTCTGGATTAAAAAGGTTTCTTTTTTCATATTCTGCATAGCTGGAGCCCTCTCCACATTCCACCCTGCTGTGATAAAATATCCCGGTGTGCGGGGCAGCTTTTGGCGGCCAAAGCAGACCCACCCCAAATGCGGCTGCCCTGGTGTTTGGTGCCACGGGCCAAAAGAGGGGCTTGGTGTCACTTTCCCTCGGGACCAAACCTGCACCTGTGCCTTTACAAGGGTGTGGAGTTCGTGTCTGGGACCCAGCCAAGCCAAACCCGGGAGGCAGCAACTTCGGGCTCCATCCCTCATCTGCCTCCCTCAGGGAGATGAGCTGGGCTGGTGGAGGGGTCCTGCCTCTCTCCGCAGTGACGGGGTGCGAACGTGCCACGCCGTGTATTTTATTCTCTTTATTTTCACAGACAGCTGAGCAGCACAGGCTTTGACGCCCAGTGAACGACACACACCTGAAGGAGCTGTGCCTCGAGACTGAGCCCCAGCAAAGGGATGGCGATGCGGTCTCTGGTGTCCGATTCCCTCCGCTGCCCAGCGCGGGGAGCCCCGGCAGCCCCGACGGGCAGCGGGGCCGCTGAGGCGGCACCGTGAGGGGAGCGCGGCGGCTGCGGGCGGCTCGGTGCCCTCCGCGCTCACCCATGGCCAAACCGGAAAAAAACCCCCTAGAGTCAGAGGAAAATATTAATTAAAACCCCCCACGTAAAATGTTATAAATGCTTGTGGCTTGTGGAGCCGCCGCCGGAGCCCCGCACCTGCCGTGCCCCCCTCCCTGAGGGAGCGGGACCGCCTGAGGCGTCCCCGGGCAGCACCGTGAGGGGAGCGCGGCGGCTGCATGCGGCGCGGTGCCCTCCACACTCACGTGTGGCAACACCGCGAAGAAAACCCCTAAAGAGATGTGGGAGGGGAAAAAAAATTAATTAAAAACCCCACATAAAATGTTACAAATGTTTGCGGCTTGCGGAGCTGCCGGCGGGCGGAGGAGCCCCGCACCTGCCGTCCACCCCCCCACCCCTCCCCGCCTCAGCGAGCGGGGCCGCTCCCCCCGCCCGGGCTGGCAGCAACCTGTTGGTGCGGGCGCTGCCGGGCGGCGGGAGGAGCCCCTCGGAGGGGCGGCCGGGCCGCTGACAAAGGCGGAGCAGCGGCAGCCCAGGGCCGCCCCCGGCAGCGGGGCCCGGCGGGCAGCGCGGGGCTGGGGCTGGGGCCGGGGCGCTCGCACAAGATGGCGGTGGGGCGGCGGGAGAGCGCGCTCCCCTCGTAGATGCGGCCGCGGCGGCCCCTGCTCCCGGCGCCCGGCGGGGCTTACATGGCGCTGGAGGACCTGCTGCTTTGTCTCTGCTTCTCCGCCCTCGCCGTCCTGGCCGTGCAAGGTGGGTGAGGAGGGGACGGAGGGAGGGAGGGGAGGAAAGGGTCGGTGCCCCCCAGCCCGCGGGCGGCCGCGGTGCCACCTGCCCTCGCCCGGGCAGCGGGCGGCTCCGCGGGGATGGGCTGCCCGGACGGGACCCTCGCACCGCCGGTTCTCACCCCTGGTTCCAGCTCTCTCTCCCGCTTAGTGACCGTTCTCCCCCAGTCACCCTTTCCCCCCTTCAGTGGCCGTCCCGTCCCTCCGTGGCCATTCCCCCCGCTCTCCCCCATCCCCTTCTTCCCTCCCGAGTCGGGCGACAGCTGCGCCCATGGCCTCAACCCGTGGAGGTGCCCGTGTCTGGACGGTGCCTCCTTTGGGGTCACCTTTGGAGGGTGACCCTGGGGGTGACACCCTCACACTTGGAGGGTGACACTGCGCACAGGGACCCCCTTCAGTGGCTGGGTTGGGGAGGGCAGTGGACTTGCAGCAGCGTCCCCCGGTCTGTGCCTGGACAGTGGCAAGTTTTCTCTGGAGGGTCAGTGACCGTGCCAGGCTGGCCAGGGATGGAGCACTTGTCTAGTGGCCAGAGCAGGCCCAGGTGTGTCTGGTGGGGACCCTCGCTACCCCCTGCTTCGCTGCCTCCGGCACGGGGATGTGTGGCCGGGCAGATGTCCCGTTGGTCAAGGAAGTGACCCGGGGATAGCCACGCTCCTTGCGCCCGAGTTTTGCAATGGTTACGCAAACGGCTCCGTGCGAGGACACACGTACACGGCCGCTGGGCACGTTTGGGACTTCCTGCGCTTGCCATCGAAGTTTGCACCGAAGATCGGTCCAACTGTGGACCTTGGTGTGCGGGGTTCGTTCCCTGTGCATGCACAAAGGTGTGGGCTGGCAGAGCCACTCTGATGAATGTGAGCTGCGGACTTGCTCTCGTTTAAAATCCCTCCTAAACGGGGTACTTGCGGTGGAGGAGCCATCCCTATGTCACTGTACATTTTTATTCCTTTTATGATGCATTCAGGTTCGGCAGAACATAATAACAGCACGTGGATGGCTGCAGGGTTGTTTTTCTTTTCTTTCTGTTTCTTCAGAACACTGCGAGCTGCTGTACAAGGGGTAGGTTATGAGTCGACATAGGTGCTGTGGTAGAAGTGAATAACGGTCCATGTAAACGGGCCATTGTCACCAGTGCCTGTGGGTTTTCCTGGATGGGTGGCAAGCTCTGACCCCACCAGCAGCCGGGCTGGTGAGCTGGGCTGGGTGGGAGCTGTACCTCCTGTGTGTTTGAGCAAACAGCTAAGCGGATCCCGAGGCTTGTAATAGAAAAAAAAAAAACAAAAACAAAAACAGAAAAAATGAGGGTGGTGGAGTGGACGTTGTTCTTCCAAACCCACTTCAACAAGAAAAGTTCAAATGCTTTGCGGGAATTTACAGTTGTGGCTTCTCGGCGTTTTTTGCGAGCAATCAGGCAATGAGTGAAAATTGTTTCTGTTTGTTTTCTAACAATGGGCCACATCTTGTGTAGGGAGGCAGGGAGTGCGTCCGTGCAGTCCCTGGACGTGCCGCTTTGGTACATGCAGATGTGCTTTCCAACAGGTGGGTTTGATTCTGAAAAGAAAAACATGGTCTTGTTTCAATCTGAAATTAATTTGGCAGAGGGTTGAAATGGTTTTGGGAAAGTCTGTGTTTGATCCCAAAGCCCATGTGTTTTCATCCAAAAGTTCAAACCTCGCTGGGTATGGAGTACCTAGGAGAGGAGAGGAAAACCCTTTCCCCCTCTGGACTTGATGGAAGCAGTGGCACTTGCTGGGGATGTGATCCAGTGTTTTTGAAAGCCTTCTGCTGTCTGACTTTGAGCCTGTTTTCCCTGCAGTAGCAGGAAAGTATTTAAGGAAAAAAAGCAACCGCAAAACAACCCCTCTCCAGTTGACTCCGGCAAGGGGGCTGTGCTGGTGCCATTCCTTGGGGCTCTCTGCAGGGAACGTGTTGATGGGAAGTGGGCTGAGCTTTCCATCTGAGGGATCAGCTGAAATCCATCTGGGTTCGTGTCATTTGGGTTTGTGGTTGATTCCTCTTGCTATGGAGCAGATTTCCTTTTTCGACATCACCTCGCTTGAACTGTGATTTGTTTTATCCTTCCTCTTGCGTTCTCCTTGGCAGTGTGACCCCGCTGACTGCTGCGAGTGCTGGGCAAGTCGGCATTCCCATTGTTTGGGAATCGCTGGCACCTGCCTGCGGGGTGGGCGGTGCAGGGATGGGATGTTTCCTACAGCCCCCAAGGAATGGGGGGCACCGACAGTGCCCATCTCGTGTGCACAGCGAGCTTTGCCTGTATCCCATTTCCAGGGGCAGGTCTCTCCCACCGGAGCGGAGCCTGCTGCAGTGCCGGGGCTGTCGTGACAGGCTGCTCCAAAGTGGGGAATGTTCCTGCTGGCATTTCACTGTTTGTCTTCTGCTGTGTGAGCCTGAAGGAGAAACAGCTCAGGCTTGGTTCTGGTTTTGCTTTCCCTACCTTTTTCCTTCCTTTTTTTTTTTTTTTTTTTTTTTTAAATGCCTTCTCCTCTCACTGCCTTAAAGTCCAAAGTGAAGCAGAACCTGCTCGTTCTCAGGCATCTCCCCCCTCTTTTGCAGCAGAGTTTCTCCCGGCAGCTGCAGCAGGTTTGATGTGCTGCAGGGGCCCCACGGGGGTGGGTGACTGCTGGTGGTGCCTGAGCCACCTCGGGTGCAAAAAGAATCGGAAAACAAAATGTCTGGCAGTCTGCCTTTCCTGGGGATGAAGGGAGAGGATTCTCCCTGTGTGCAGCCTGATTTGGAGCTGGAGGCAGCTTCTGTGGGACAGCACAGAGGCACCAGGGCCACGTGATTTTGGGGACGGCTGGACTGGTGGTTGCATCCAGGACATCTCACCTGAGTGCCCACTGTGATGATCCTGGGCCAGTAGCTTCACCTACCCTGGGATCCTCATGGCCCACCTTTAGACAAGTGTGGAGATGTTTCTCTCTTGTCAGACGTGTGGAGAGGATGAAATCCATCAGTAAGTGCTCAGCACATACGTGATCTTTGTCACTCTAGTGCACAGCGATCCCGAGGGCAGGGTGCTGTGCTGTCCCGTGGATTTCTGACTCCTGATTCCATATTGCTTGCCAGATGATTTGAATTCTTACCTCCCTCGGAGCTGCTCTCCCAAAAGCTGGCTGTTCTCCCAGGGAAAAGATCCAGGTGCCTGGGAACCAGTCTGGGCATTTGCAGCATAAGAGATGTTGCTTTGCACCATTTACACGCTCCTCTCCTGTTTAAATGGCTGCAAGGCCATTAAGCCTAGTCATGGTTATATAATTAAGATGGGAATTAATATTTAATCTGATTGTAATTTGTTGCTGGAATCCATCCCAAACCGTATCTCTTCATGAGGTGAGTGGGTACCTGAGGGAAAACTGAGGCCAGTGTTACATGTAGGGGATTTTTTGCTTGGACATTGGCAATTAGAGCCCTGCCTTGGGTGACAGAGAAACCCTAACCTTTACAAACCCTGAGTGATCGTAGTCATTTTGTTATCAGTAGGAAGCAAATGTTTGTTTTATAGTCAGCTGTAATACTGGAGGGGATATGGTAAATCCCTGTTATCAGTATTTGCCAAGTGCATGTTGGGCCAAAATCAACTCTGGTGCAATTTTGTTACTTTCTGGAGAACTGGACCCGCTTGCCTACAGTATTGTTAGCCTGGTTTTCAAAGGAGATGTCGTTGTGCCACCTGGTTGTCTGTCCATTTCCCTTTTCCCAGTAATTCTGGCCCTGCTCTTCAGTCACAACTGGTTTGAATACCTTGGCTGTCTCTGCCTCGGTTTCCCCCTTTGTTCCTGCGGGGCAGGAGATGCTGTTGCACACTGCAAACACGAAGAACACCATCACTCCAAGCACCCTTCTTGCATTTATTAAATCCCGAGAGTAAGGGACCTCCAAGTCCTGCTTGTGCTTTTCTGACTTAACAGCTTGTTGGTGAGAGGATCCACAGCTGCTAAAACTGAATCTGCCATCTTCACAGAAAGCAGGATCGAGCTGTGTTTTCACACAGCCCCTACAGAGCTGCTAAACCCCCCCACCAGATGGGGGGGGGAAGTCAGAAGAGCTTCTAGTTTGTCTGGCTTTGGATATGCTGAAGTCATCCTTGAAACGTGGTTGAATTTCCTAACTCTGAAAAGTGATGGAGCCTTCAAGGGAGAGGAAGAGCTGATCAGTGTTTCCTTGCAGGAGGGTGAATATCTGGTGGAACTGCAGCTGCTGAGACGGGAAATTCCCTGGGAGAGCCCAGCCAGGTGTCATCAGCCTTGTCTGAGCTATCTAGCACTGTCCTGTGTGCAGGTGTCAGGGCACTTGGTGAGCGTGGAGCTTGTGGAGCTTCTCCTGGCCATGTTTTCGTTCGTGTCACTGATGCCCTTTGGTGTCTGTGTTCGCTCAGATCCTCTCCTGCTCCTAATCCGTGGGATCCTGCTGATCTGATTCGGCCTCGCTTTATCTGAGAAGTCCAGCAGCTGCCGTGTCTTATCTCTGGGGGTAATAAACATACTTTGTGGTGGTTATGATAAGCAATTACTGTATTCCAGGGGAACTTTCGTATCAGATGTTCTGAAATAATTTAAAAATCTTTATCAGCATTTTAAACGCAATTGCCTGTTACTGCCATATTAAATCCAGCTGAGCTGTTGAATAACCTGGTTTATTCTATCCCTTTCCTGGTTTTTTATATTTTAATTTTTTTTTTCCCCAGATGTCTCACGGATTTCTTGAGGACAGGTTGCTAATATTTAAGGTGTGTTAATGAACTGTGGGCATCCCCAAGGCTTGCTCTCAGCCCAAATTGGTGGGAGAATTAAAATCTGGTGTGCGAAGTGTTGCATTTGAGCACAGTTTGCTGTGGCCCTTCCCTTGTTCTGAGCGACTTCCCTGCTCCCATTTCCTGCTCGGGCCTTTGAACCACATTCCTGTTGGAGTTGGGATGGCTTAGCACCTCGTTAAATGCACGAGTTT